GTGCAGGAAGCCTTTGAGGATGCAGCAAGAGACTTGAAGCTAGAGGACGACGAAATCGATGAGAACTGGCTCACAGTCTTGGCGCACAGGCCAAGACAGAACTGGGAGAACATGTTTAAAGGCCCTGACCGATTGAGGATAGGAAGAAACACCAAGGAACATTGGAAACAGGCCCTCACATCCTTTCGGGAATTCTACGCGCCATCAAAGAGAGCGAGAGATGGKGTGATTGCGTATCTAGAATCAGACGCGATAAAGAAACCTCACGACATAACCTGTCAGGAACACAAGGAGAAGGTCCTTGTGTGTTGCAATAGAGCCAACATTCTACATGGGATCAAGGGTCCCTTATCAGAGCGAGAAATCAATGAGATTCTTTTCCACTCCTTTCCAGACGCTTGGCAAGATAAATATGTCAGCAGTGGGAGAGACACTGTTGAAGATACACCACAAGGAATAGTCAAGTTCATGACAGAGCAGAAGGAACTCGCCGACAAGAAAGAACAGCAGCAACGTGCAAGGAAAAGATCAGCGGATGACACGACAGACCATGATACAAGACAACGCGGAAAGACTAATGGGAAACAAAGAAGAAGAGGGAACACCAACAGAAACAACAACAATGACAGGAACAACAGACACAATGACACCMCCGAGGAAAGAAGAGCTAGGACCAATGCAACGCCTTGCAAGATTCACAATGGACATCACTTATGGGGGGAGTGCAGACTCAATAAGAATGGTTACAATCGAAACAACAATGGAGGAAATCAACGCAACCAGGGGAATTACGGAGGAAACCAGAGAAGCAATTCAAATACAAGCAACAACAGTAGGAAGCCCCCCGGACTGTACTATGTGGATGAACACGGAAACATGAAGCCACAATCGATACAGATCCAAACTCAGAATTATCATGGCTCCAACTCTAGTGGTCCTCCAAGCCATGTGTCACTGCAGTCCCACAGCAATCCGGGCTCCACGATTCAATTCCAAGGACAAGGCTCAAATCAACAGTGGTGACATCCAAGGGAKGCCTACTTTGCATTGCMTCCGGCGCCTTCCACTCAATCATCAGGAGATAGCCTTGAACTTTATGGCCTTGATAATGATGACGCTCTCAAAAACCCATCAGCAATAACCTTGAGAGCTCTGACAACACCACCAGATATGCAGGATGTCCTACCAGTGGTCATCCTAGTATGCAAGACCATTCAAGACCTACCARCAATGCAAACATTCACAGTCCTACTAGACAGTGGGAGTACAATGTG